CCTCAGCCTCCCAAGTGGCTGGGACTACAGGTGCATGCCACCATGTCTGGCTAATTTTTCTTAATTTTTTGTAGAGATGGGGGTCTCACTATGTTGCTCAGGCTGCTCTTAAATTCCTAGCCTCAAGCAATCTTCCGACCTGGCCTCACAAAGTGCTGGGATTGTAGGCATGAGCCACTGTTCCTGGCCAGTATTTAACACATTTTAATCTAAGATTGAGACACCCACTACAAACATTTCAGTGTAAACTATTTTCATCTAACTAAAATCTATCTGATGAAAAAAAAAAAGAAAACCCTAAACGTACAATGTACAATGTAACTAAAATATTAATTATTTTTGAAATTCATTACACTTAAAGGATCTTAAAAGGAAAGACTTTTTTCTTTTAAATCAAAACTGTATTTTTGGTGATTTTTTTAATTTTTGGATTTTTAAAAACTTGTTATTTTTAAATAATCTTAGATTTATGAAAGAGTTGACAAAGCTGGTATAGAATTCTATATACCTTTGACCCAGCTTCTCCTAATATTAACATATTATATAACAAATGATACATTCATCAAAACTAAGAAATTAGTATACACAATAATACAATCAACTAAACTGTGGACTTTATTCAGATTTCACCAGTTTTTCCATTAAGGTCCTTTTTTTCTCTTCCAGGATCCAATCCAGGATACCACATTAAAACAGACTTTTTGTGACTTAGGACTTTTGGGGTTAAATTTCCCAAAGTAAGTTACTCTTTTATAGCCATGAAAATTATACCTATGCTCCTTATGATTTTAAGCCTGAATTTGCTCACATTCCCAGGAGACTATATTCGCAGTTAGATTGGTAGGCAAACATTTACTGAATGTGTTCCAGGCAGAACAGTGAGCTATTAAAAGCAGGGATCTAGAAACAGCCTGAGTTCAATGGCTGTCTGTCACTTTCTAGCTGGAGAAACTTGGTCACCAAGTTACTCACTCTCTTGATTCCTTTGTTTATGCATCCAAAAAAAAAAAAAAATGGGGATAATAATGGTATTAACTCAACGGGTTGTGAAAAATTGAGTATTAATTGCGTAAAATGCTTAAAAGAGTGCCTGACACAGAGTAAATGTACAACGTATTACACACATATTGGTATCATTACGTGCAGGTTTACATGATGGGCCCACCAAGGTAAAGGCTTGGGCTCAATGATAGAGAAGAAAATAAATCCCATGAGCTCAACTCCAAATTTCTTTGATATTGAGAAATTCCTACTTAGGCTGGCTGTTCAAAATTTTGCACTTATTTAAAGAAGTAGATACTTGTGGTAGTTGGGTCCTTAGCCTAGTTCACAAAAGGCTATCTAAATAAAAGTAACTTAAATACAATATTAATAATATTATGGAATCTAAAACAAAGTTCTTCTGGAATCCATCTCTCTCACTGGTGTAAAGTAGGAAATAGTCCTTCTACTCACTGGCTGGTTAGGCTAGAAATGGACAATAAGGAAGGAACCAGAGTGAAAGTCTAGCCTCCCTCCTTCCTCCTTTACCCCCAGTAACTTCTGCCCTAGCAGAACTGGGCTGAAGGGAGAGGGATGAGAAGGTTTTCAACTGTTGTAATTGTTGTCCAAAGTGGAAGGGAAGGGAGAAGAGAGAAGACAAGTCCCTGTGGATGTCAGGTCAAAAGGGCAGCCTCTTCTGAGTGGTCACTGCACACACATCTTAGAAATGGCCAGGGATTCAACATTCTACATTCTATTTTTAAAATATCTTTATGAGATATAATTCATATACCATAAAATGTACTCATTCAAAGTGTACCCTTCAAAAAACAAACAAACAAAAAAACACAAGACAAAGTGTACACTTCAATGTTTACATTGTTCAATATATATAAAATTAACTTTCTGGAGAGCTTGGTTTAAATTAGGTGTCACTAAGATT